AAGCACGGAAGTAATCATTCCCGACCTGACAGAAGTCTAGGAGTGAGTGCGTGAGGTGGTTATAAAAGGCTCTCCACCCCCCCAAAGAGGAGGTATGCAAACTTTGCGCTATCTGGTTTTATTTGCCTTTGAAGGATTCTAACTTGAGCTTCGGAGCCTTTACACCGGGTTCCCCCCGGAGCTTTCTCATCTCCCCCGTTTCAGGTTCCCTGCTACCGAGTTCAGAGGCAAGGTTGTTGACAGCTAAGACCAGCCGGATTGCGCATCATCAGTTCTCATGGCGTCAAAACAAAGGTGGCGACTATGGTCGTGATGGCAGGTATGAAACAAGGGAAGTGAACGAGATCCTAGTCTCAGTGCACTTTGTTTGAAGCATTGTAACTTCACCATCCCGTTCCTGGTCTCAGTGTCCTGAGTTTTGTGAATATAGGCGTTGCCATGTCACAGGTGGTCCAGTTAGCTCGGAGGTTGCTGTGTGCATCGGTCTGAGAGTGGAACTAGACGAGTGTTTCCATATCGTTGGGAGAATAGGGAAGGAGAGAAAGAGAAAGAGAGGATGGAAGGTTAGTCGTTGCGGATTTGAGTAGAGAAGACGGATATTCACCAAAAAGGGTATTTTGGGTATAATTTAAAATTAAATCAAACACGTAAAGTCATGTGTAAATGGCATGTGATAGAGATAGGAATGGCAACGGGGTCAGTTCGAGGCAAGGATTGCATTCCCCATCCCCATCCCCGATGCTCATTAGGGAAAGAAATGCTCATCCATCCCATTCCACCGGGGATGAGTTCCCTATCGGAGACCTGGATCCCTGATTGTTTGAGAGAGAGACTTCAAACTTGTGACTTGCGAGTTGCAAAGTTTCAGATCCATAACTCACATATGTTTGAGATTTCAAAAATTAGAAATCGGACTTGTGAGCACTGAGTTGAGAGAGAGAGAGAGAGAGAGTACTGACGGCCACTACTAATTATTAAAGACGATAGACGAAGAACGGAAGAATAAGGGTAGGGTTTTGAGTTACAGGCGTCGCCATCGCAAGTTCTTTTCTCTATTTTTTCTTCTTTGTTTGTTGAGTTAATTAGTTTAGGTAGTAGAAGAGAGTCAAGAGATTCTCGAGAGTTAAGAGTTTTAAGTTTTTGTCTTTTACTCTTTTTGAGTTTTTGTTATTTGTGTAATTATGATATAATAATATTATATAAATAATATATATATATATATATATATATATATATATATATATA